AGAAAAGACAGTGAACCCCTCACTTTAATATATTCATAATACTTTAAAAAAAAATTATATAATAGCAATGTACTTGATATAGATTACTTTTTTTGTAGTCTGTATCAGGTAACGGCTTCACTTTGCTCATGAACATTAATTAAGTTACGTTACGTTACGTTACGTTCGCCTAGTAGCAGTAGGTCTGGCGTTAAAAAAAGACGTAAATAATTAGCTAGCAAATGAAGAAATCTTACTATTTTTAGTGTACTGTTCACGAATGAAACAACTTCACGGAACTTTACCAAGCCTCGTCTGCGTGATTTATTGGGGAGCAAGTAGAGGACGTTTTTCGTTGGGAATCGAGCAGGCATAGAATAGAAACGTGAAGTAACTATTTTTAATGCGATACTCAATCGGTTCAGGGCGAAAGACACTAAACTGCACTGGTCACCTGGGGCAAGTTCAAGCTCAAACCGGTGTGCACCGTTTTGCTACGGTTTCCTGTTTGAACGACATGTTTCCTGGAAATGGTGTGCAACAGGGTTTGAGATGCGTTTTCTCTTGTTTGGTGGGTGTGTCAAACATGTCAGCCCAATCAGCAGCAACATGTATGTAAACCACGTGGTATTAAAGGGGTCATACGATGCGATTTCAAGTTTTCCTTTCTCTTTGGAGTGTTACAAGCTGATTGTGCATAGATAAGATCCCTGAAGTTGCAAAGACTAAAGTCTCAAAACCAAAGAGATATTCTTTATAAAAGTTAAGACTCTGCCATGCCCCCCTAAAACGGCTCGTTCTAACACGCCCCCACATATCTACCTCACTATGTGGAAATATTTGCATAATGCCGTCCAAATGTTCACACAAAGAAAGAAGGCGTGGTTTCAGTAACCGCAGTTAGTGTTGAAGCAGCCATGTCAGCGAGACGCTGTGTGTTTCTAGACGAAAGCAAAAGCACTTTATTTGGCCTTCCGGAAGTAGATGCATTTAGGAATCTTTAAGATGACTTACAACAGAACAGCAATGCATTTTATGGACGACCGTTTCATGAACCTAGGAGAAGAGGTAATTCTGACTTTGCTATGACAATCTGACGCTTCTGAATCAGCTACTGTTTTGTTATTAGTTTAAGTATTTGCTATTGACTGTTCAAATGCGGAGTTTTGCGCATCGTGTGTGTGTGTGTGTGTGTGTG